CCTTCAGACATCCTAAGACATTTTCCTCCCTCCCCCTTCGGACAGCAAAAATTTCCTCCGTGGGGGGGGGGGTATGGATCTTTTCTGGAACGACCCATTTGTAAAAATCTCCAACACTATATCGGTATTTATTTACTCATTTAATACCAAGTGGTACTAAGTGCTTCGCCATTTTGAATAACCTAAGTGGTATGCTCCATCAGTATCGCCAGTGCACAGCGGGAAATTTACTGCAAGAAAATGGCGGAAGCAGATCGAAACTTCTCAAATTGGCCAATGGGCTATTCCTGTTTTATATTCACATCATCCCACATTGAGGAACTTGATTTTTACCCCCCCCCCCCCTCCTAGGAATGTCCAAGGTTGAAAAAGCAGGTCAGTGGTTGAAACTTGGCCCCTTCCTCTGGAATTTCAAGACTCCTCAACAGGGGTGTGTGGGATAAAAATTGGAAGAGTATTCCGAATTAGTAAGATACACTCATATAGACTAAGACCAGGTTGAATTTGTAAGTAAACTGTTGAGTTAAAATTTTATTTTGGAGGACAGTAATTAAAAATTGCTATGTCACAGAACAGTCAGCTGCAGGCAATGATCACAGTACTACCCTAGAATTTCAGTATTTTACCTCCAGAAATAAGAGATCAATCTCAAGAAATTTCCTATCAGATCTCCAAATTCGTTGCTGTTGGAAGTTGGCAGGTCTGTGAACTTGTTTTACAATTTGTATTTTGGCAAGTATCCAAATGACAATTCCACTTGCATTTCATACTAATATTATTAAAATACATATCAAAAAGCTCGTTGCCCCGACAGTCATGAATAAAATTAAAAATTAATGTTATATTATATTATAAAATTATGCAAAATTTACTCGCCTGGAATGCTCGAGAAAGCCTTGACACCGTAAGTTCACTGGACGAAATTCGCAATCTTAGGCTTTTCCCTTCCCGATTAACATCGAAAATCTTTATGCTTGCCATTTGAAGTTGAAAGAATAACAAAGAAACGATATAAAATATAAAATACAAGTATACTACAGCAAATACGATTCTTTTTAGTGACTTTTCCCGATTCCCGCCGGCGCGCAAGAAGTGCCAAGAACTGGCGCCCAGCAGGGGCCTAGTGGGGGGTGTTTCTACCGGAAGTGCAATCAATTTTCGATTTTTTCCCCGAAAACAAAAATTGAAAATTGATTGCATTTTTAATTTTGTACAAACACCGTATATAGAATAAATTGAAAAATGGTGAAAATCTATAACCATAGTAAAGAGGAAATTTCGAAAATGTGATTTTTTCTTTCAAATTTCGTCTTATAGAAACATGAAAATAAAGGTCCGAAATTTATTTTTATATATTTTTACGAATTGAAAAATTAAAAATTGAAAATTGAATGCAATTTTCAATTTATGAAAAAATCGAATGGACGAATGACCCACGCATTCTTCACAACTCAGACAGAGCTTCACAATCACCTAAAAAAGGGCAATATAGCAAAATTGTGGTAGCAGTTTAATATTGGATTAATTGACATATTGACATGATTCTGATTTAAAGTTAAACAATTTTGCCATCAAATATAATACTTCCCTTAATTAACCTGCTTTGGATGTCCTAATCTGCTATCTATTACCCAGTATCAGAAACAATTTTGGTTCCCCCAACTCCCATGATGGTGGTTGGGAGATTAATTCCCTCAGTTTGGGAAGTGTGTATCTGTCTGAAATGACCCATTTTAATACATTTTTGAAATGTCAACTCCCCCTCCCTCCCAGGGCCCTCAATGTTTGTCTGGTACTTCTTCTTGGGGACTCATTCAACTCAGACAGAATGTCGGATCCACTTCATAATTGTCACTTGGAACACAAAATACAGAACTGAGCTAGTCGAATCCCCAAATCGAGTCCAAATTAAATGACCAATTCCCTTGGGGAATTTTTATAGCATATAAAATAAACAAACCTCTTTGTAGCCATAAGCTAAAAGATCAGAGTCGTCTGTAATATCAAAATCTGCAACATTTGTCTCAAGCAAAAAGGCCATTTGTGCATCTGATTCATAGGGTGAGACAACATATGACACCTTTTCTTTTAAACAAATCTAAACAGATTTGATAAATAGATCTTTTGAGCCCTACTGACTTGGCTAGTGAATTTATTCCACATGTTGTATATTAAAATTTATTTCTATACTAAAATTATAGTTAAAGTAGGCTGATAATATAAGGAACTCACGTTTACACAAGTTGAAATATCATTGAAAGAGATTGAAACAGCTTGGCTTCGAAGTTTGTTGGCCTCTTGGGGAGTAATTCCTTCTCTTTCTGATTTCAGCAAACATTCTTCTCGGCCTCTGTAAGGGAAATATTTATCTGTCAGTTCAGTTATAAAATGTGAATATAATAATAATATATCAAAGTAAAATCTTGATTGCAAACGTTGCTATAAAACTATGTATAAAGTTGCTTCAATCACCTCTGCCTTTTCTCGACTTCACTCACTTTTGTAGGCAATGGAAGTCCATCAAATACAATATAAGGAGTCACTCCTGCTCTTCTAACCACTGACAAATGCTTCTCGAAAATATCAGCCAACCTGAAATATAGAAACACCGTGACTATGATATGATCGACTGTTTTTTAAACTCAAAATTGTCACTGCAAGTTCTCACCTTGAACGATTTCCAGTTTGAGATATGGATAAAACCAAGGCATTGTGAATCCAACAAGAAGCATCAATTTGCCGCTATTTTGCCCAAAAAGTCAGTTAAGTTTATTCTTTTATGGTAATGTTTTAAGAAAGGGAATAAACAATGTATCCCCATTTGCAATGCTAATCACAAGCAGCTTGGTTGACGTTTGCTCAAGCGCGACCAGATTGCAAATGAAGCAATTTTGATTTTTAACCATCGTGCTTAGCGGTCGTTATGCGCACACCGCCTGGACGAGAGTGAAGACGAGAAGTGAGTTTCAAATTGTAAACAATACTACCTGTCACCACTGCTCAACACTAACATAATTATTTCGCTTGTCTATGGACTAGATTACTGTATACTTACTGTAGAAACACCACAGTGTTTACTAAATTGATACGGGATATTATTTCATGCAAAATATTTCTCTTACAAGACAAAATCAACAATATAACTGAATATCGATATCATATAAATGACATACTCAATATGTGCTATAAAAATTGTGAATGCTTCGCGGGGAAAAGCGCCAATTTAGTTGGATTGTAACGAACCTCTCTTTTTTACTGTTGTAAGCAAGTTATTACTCAAAATAAACCAAAATTTTAGTAGTTTTATTGTACAATTTTATGATTCAAGAATTACTAAGAGAAATTTTTTATATTATTCTCAGCTACAATAGTGAGGTATCTGATGGCTTTTCCCATGAAGCATCCTCAGATTCGGATTACATTCCTAATGACATGGACTGTACTCCCAACTGTAAACAGGTGCACAGTGATATAGCGAGCAATGACTAAGAGTCTACAAGTACTAGCCAAGCAGGTGGACAAGGTGACAGGGGTAGAGGAAGGCGTAGTGGTAGAGGAAGGGGTCTTGGAAGGGGTCGTGGAAGGGGTTGTAGAAGTGTAGGTGTGGGCGAAGGGGACGTGGAAGAGCAAATGCGGTTGGCGGTGACAGGGGACGTGGAAGTGGGGCTGGTCAGGGAGTTTGGACAAGTGGTCAAGTTACAGGTTCAAGAAAGTCTTATAATGATCAAGACTCTGCGAACAACCTGCCACCTTTCCAACCTGCTGGACTTCCAGGTTTGCATCTGGACATGAGAGTAACGCGTGGTGCTATGACAAAAGCTGTGGATTTCTTTCAACTATTTTTCACCATGGAATTGTTGAACGAAATATGCAACCACAGTAATACATATGGTTGGATGAATGTGGGTAATAAATCGACGTATGGTAATTCTGAAGGTGCGTGGGAAGAAATGTCTCTTGACGAATTGAAAAAGCTCATTGGTTTGATCATCTATTTTGGTCTAACAAATGTTGGGACATTTGAGCATTACTGGAGTACAAAGGCATTGTACCATGGGCTTTGGGCATGAAAGTTCATGTCAAAGAATCGGTTCAAAGCTCTCATGGCAATGTTACATGTTGTCGATCCCAGTTCAGAAGAGCAAGGTGATAAACTGCGCAAAGTCAGATGATTGTTAGATGCATTCACTTCAAAGTGCCAAGATTTGTATCAGCCCTTTCAGAATGTCAATGTGGATGAAAAAATGGTGAAATCAAAGAACAGGTCTGGTATCAGACAATATATAAAGATGAAACCCACCAAGTGGGGGATAAAACTTTGGGTCTTAGCTGACAGTTTGAATGGATACACATGTGACTTCGAAGTTTACATTGGAAAAAATGATACCAATCCACCAACTGAAAATGGTCTTGGCTATGATGTTGCAATGCGACTTGTGCGACGATTGCTAAACCAAGGGTATTGTGTGTTCTTTGACAATTTCTACACTTCAGTCAAGTTGGTAAAAGATTTATTTCAGAACAGGACGCAATCATGTGGAACTGTAGCTGAAAACAGAGTGGACTTTCCAAAGAGCATGAAGGGAAAAAAGAGTTGGGCAAAAAAGGCTAAGAGATGTGATATGAGATGGGAAAGGTTAGATTGTTGTCTAGTTCAGCAGTGGAAAGACAACAAAGCAGTGTCTATTCTTTCCAGCATAGATTCGGCAAATGAATTCGGGATGGTGAAAAGGAAAGTGAAGGTGAACAATGTTTGGGACAAAGTTGACATTAAACGTCCACAAAAGCTATTGAAACCTATAATAAGTACATGAATGGGGTTGATTGTTCTGATCAAACAACGAAATGTTAGCTAATTAAAATTTTACTTTTATTATGTTTGGTTTTAAAGTTATTTGCTGCGCTCTGCTCTTTATCTTTAAACAAAGAACAATACATTGAGAAAGTGCATGGAAAACACTGTTTTTCCATATGATTGATATTGCGGTTGTAAATAGTTTTATACTGTTTCAACTATACCGCAATCACCATATTGATGATGAGGAGTTGCAACGGCCGAAAAGATACTCCATCATTGAGTTCAGAGAGGAGCTTGTAAGGCAGTTAGCTGGGCTGGAAGAATATGATGAGCCACCAGTGTATCGTCCACCAAAGAAACCATGGTATGAATATGAGACAGAGCACCTACCAAAGTATTTGGAAACCAAGAGGAACTGTAGAGTTTGTTACAAACAATTGAAAAAGGAGTTCAAGGTTGTGACATACTGTAGTGCACCCCAATGCCAAGTCTATTTGCACTCTACCAAAGACAAAGACTGCTTTGGAATCTGGCACACTAAAGCTTACCATATGAACAATTGAACTAATAAGTAATATAAGTAATAACTAATATGTAATATAATTATATTACTCTCATCAAAGGCCAAACAAAAAAAAATACTTGGTTAGCGTCACACTCTCACAAATTTTCAGAGGCGGGCGGGCGGATTTTTTTTAATTTTTACTCGTTTTTTAATTTTTTAATAGTATTTTTGGAGGGGATGGGGGGCGGTTTTTCCACCATATCGGTGATATTTTTTGTACTGATGTTGCGAAGGCCGCCATTTTGCTTTAAGAACCTTGTATACGCAAGCCTACGCGCTCCTATCGATCAGTATATAGAGCCAAGGTCTGAGCATGAGAAAAATTTCAAATATTAAACTGTTTTAAGCTGTAAAACGAAGAGATTTACATAAACAAAAATAAAAAAAAATTCAGAGGCGGCAGAAAATCGAGAGGCGGGGGGTGACGCTAACCAAGTATTTTTTTTATTTGGCCTAACTATGACAATTTAATAATTAGCTTCTAATATTCTTTCCTTTTAGGTAACTTTTACTGATGTATATAGTAACATTCCTAAGTCAGTTGTTTACAGCTTAGAATGTATATGAAGTCTGTTATATTTTTACTCATATAGATATATGGTGAATTTGCCATCCCGATTATAAACAGTCGTAACTTTCTACCTTTTTATTGTTTCCCCCTGAAATTTTCTGTGAAAAAAAGATTAAATGATTTGCTATAACTTTTCTATAGATCATAACAAGCTATCTCGAAATCGGTCATGTGTATATCTGTTTTTATTGAAAAATTATCCATAATTAATTATTAACTTTGAATAGATTATCATAAATTATCATTTTGAACACTCATCATCAGTTAAATTTGACTGATTATGAAAGCCTGTTTTCTGCTCTTAAAAACAAGTGTTTGGTTGCAGTGAACAGATTAATAGAACCAGATTTATAGCATTATGAAGCAACCCTAGTGAAAACAGTGATTTTAAGGCGGGTGCAAAAGAGTTAATACTATCCAAGGCTTTTGCTGCTTAACATTATATCCCTTAACACTTTTGGATATCCAAGGCACTCACTTTGGAACCAAATTTATATGATTTACTTTTTTAAAGGACAAAATGGCACCTTTTAGATACTCTTCGATAAACAATGACATAATGTTAGCAACAGAAGTCACTGCGAGAAACCCAAAGAGCACTGTTGATTGGGAATCAATTGCTGGAATTCTTAGCCAAGCATTCAGCACAGATAAAAAAGATTGACTTAACAGGTCAGGCCTGCAGGGAGCAAATGGATAGGCTAATTACAAAACACAAAGAAGATGACAAGATATTCTTGAAAAAGTAATCATTGACATTGAAAAGATTTAGAATACACCCTTCCGGCAAGAATATCACTTTGGCTATAGAGCCTTGTTATAGTGCTGTAGAACCAAATTCATAACTGTGGGTTTTATCTGGACAAGCATGTTCCCACAAGTTTATGATAAAATAAAAACCCTCAATCCCATGATTATATGATATTCATTATTATATTGCGATAATTTGAGAATGAGAACATGCAAAAATGATATACTTTCAATTACCCTTGCATAAAAGTAGGGGGCTCAGCCCAGTGAAGGCCCCTCCCCCATAAACATGTCTTATGCCTTCTGTATTTGCTCTTCACCCCCACCAAACTAAGGACCAGGTCATGCTGCTGTGTTTTGGTAGACTATGGGGTGTGCAGTATTGATTCATGGCCCCAGCTACACAGCATGTCACTGGCTCAACCCCTCCCCCTCCCCCACCCCATAGTTTGAGCAAGGGGGCTCTGTCCCCAATAGCCCCTGCTTTTCTACAGTTTACACCACTTGTTTGGCAGGATGTCATTGAGATATAAACAAGTTTGAAACATATTTGTGACATGTCATGAACTGAGATCTTTACCATAAGAAACTCATCTATTTAAGGTCTGGCACAGAAGAAGACTATACTGAGCTCACCATGCTTTTGGAAGATATCTGCATGTTCAGAAGAGACCAAGAAGATCTCAAGACTAAGGAAAAAGAGAAAAAAAATAAAGAATTGAAAAAGAAAAAAGGCCAGGAAATGCAAGATGCGGCACTCACTGGAATGAGTAGTACGTATTGGCTATTAAATGTGTCTTGTGATTTGTAGAGTTGTTGTGTCTGAGTGTTGTGTCTGAGATTGGTTGTGTCTGAGTGTTGTATTTGTTGGGATGTTGATTGGTTACGTTCCTGATATGGTAAATTCTAGTTTATGTTTAATATTATAGGAAGAAAAAGTAATGATAATGAAAGTAGTGATACCACAAGTGAAGATGAATATTTCATAGTGAAGAAAACATCACAAGGAAAGGTAAAAGTACTTGTGATTTAGATAAAAGCAAAAAAAATTAACTTTATGCACTTAAAACATCTGTTCCATTGCTTTGCATAGAAACACTCAAACCTTGTATTTTTTAATTTGTAACAGGTAGAAAAAGAAAAGTATGTATGTTATGATATGATATGATCAACTCCATATAGGACATACAGCCGTGTGTATTATAGTTATATAAAAAAATGGATCCAATGGATATATCGGATCCATATTTAGTTATAAGTAAATATGGATCTGATGTATCCATTGGATCCATTTTCTTCAAATAACTAAATTCTTATCAGATGTATTCATCGGATCCATTTTTTTTATATAGCTATAATACTTATCCCATGTATCCATCAGATCCATTTTTTTTTAAATAACTAAATATATATCCCATTGGATCCATTTTTTGTATAACTAAATTCTGATGTATCCATCGGATCCATTTTTTAAATATATAACTAAATACTTATCCGAAATATCCATCGGGTCCATTTTATTATTTTCTAACTAAATGCCTAAAAAGGTCCAAAATCGGTGAAAATATTTAGGAAAGTCGTTAACAGTAAAAAATGGTAAAGAAAATGCCTAGAAAATAATAAAAAAATGCCTAACAAATTGTCCAAAGATGCGTAAAAAATAGTCCAAAAAATATGTAAAAATTCATCCAAAAATGTGTAAAATATGGTAAAAATATATGTAAAATATATTCCAAAGAATGCGTAAAAAATTATCCAAAAAATGCCTAAAAAATTGATAAAAAAAATGTCCGAAAATGTGCAAAAATTGGTCCAAAAATGTCCAAAAAATGGTTAAAAAATACGCAAAAAATTGTCCAAAAATGTTAAAATTCATCGGAAAATGTGTACAAAATGGTAAAAAAAAATATGTAAAAAATGGTCCAAAAATGTTTGTCATTGTTTGCCAGTAAAGAAGAAATACTCATAAGTAACAAATAATAAAACAGTATGTTATTACTGAACAATTAGTATTCTCAAAGTGCATGCAGTTAAGTGGGGGACGCATTAAAACCAGAAGTTTCGATGTTTTTGATAATGTCAATATATAATTACTGATGTTAAACAATATCAATAAATGGCGCTTCAATATATCTGAACAAAATGTCAAAAAGTTAAAGAAAAGTGGAAAAAAAACGAGAGAATTTATTCCTCATGAAGCCTATGGTTTGTGTCATGTATCTAACTATTGATAGGTAGAATAGGTAAATGTTGTACAATCTGCAAAAATGCATGAAAAGACCATGGCATGAAAAATTGTCAAGAAGTTAAAGAAAAGTGGAAAAGAAAGAGAAGAATGAAGAAAAATTGATAATTGAAATTAGACCATGCCATGAGAAATTGTGTAAAAAGTTGCATGTGTAAATGCATGCACTGTTTTGTATTTTTTTTATGTCAATGCATTGTATAATAGTTGATATTTGTGATTTGACGATGCACATGAATTTCAGTTGCAGGGTCGGACTTGACATTGTATAATAGTTGATATGTGTGATTTGATGATGCACACGAATTTCAGTTGCAGGGTTGGATTTGACAATACTGTGATATTGTGTATTTGGAATTGGTGACAAGACTGCACAGTTGCTTGTGAATTTGTGTTGTGTAATTTTCATGTATCGCACATGAGTAAGTGGATTTAAATATATCTTCAACAGATCTGGAAAGTGGACCATGCAGTGAGATATTGTAAATTTAGTTCTTGTTGTACTATTGTTGAACTATTGTTGTTGTATTATTGTTGTATTATTGTTATACTATTGTTATACTATTGTTCTATTTCATATATCTGTCCATCCACTTGTGAGAACGGTGGTCCTGGGGATGGTTTTTTTCTGAGGGAGGCTTCTGCCCTCGGAATGCATTAACTTTTTATGGGGGCAAATTATACCTTCCTTAAATATAATTAGGTATAAACCTAATTTTCTTCTTTCCCAGTACACACATGTTGTAGTAGAACATTTCTTGTTAATATATGTTTAAGAAAAAGTAGAATCTTTGTGGTGAAAATCCATAATGCAAACTGAAGAAATCCTGTTTTCGCTTAATTAACCATTCAGGACGCGTTTTCACCATGAAGTACCTATTTTCGTTAAACATATATTACCATGAAATATTATACAAACAAAGGGGAACATTTTCGGTTAACATGTCTTCAAGAAAAAGTGTGTACTTCATATGAAAAGTGTCCAGAAAGGTGAAATTAACAAAAAGTTTCAGGAGAATTGAAGAGGTAAGGGTAAAGCCTTAATTTTTGACCAATATAAAGTTGATTTTTTATGGGGGCAAATGATACATCTCGATGCGCTGCACATTTCTTGTTAATAGATGTTCAAGAAAAAGTAGGTTCTTCATGGTGAAAACGTGTCCCGAAAAGTGAAAATATGCCATTTTCAAGGGGCGTTTCCTCCCAAGGAAAGACATGTATCTCAAATTGTCTTCCTTCACAATAAACAAATGTTATAGTAGAACATTTTGTGTTAATATATGTTCAAGAAAAAGTACATCCTTCATGGTGAAAATCCCTGACGCAAACTGAGAAAATCCTGTTTTTCGCTTCATCGTCGTACTTGCCCCCTGACACAAGGTCTGCATCGATTGCCGGCTCGAATTGCGACAGAGCATCCACTATCGTTGCCCTTGTGGTATTATTTGGCAGGCTGGCTGTTGCTTCTACCACAATCTTTGTTTCTCTTTCGGTAAATAGCTGTCCACGTCTCTTTGGAGCATTTTGCTGGTTTTGTTGTTTTGGCTTCAGCATTTTTTTGGCTTTGGCATCTTGTAAGAGCATCATTCGTGAGGACAAAGGCTCGTCGTCATAGTCGCTGCTGTCAGATTCCTTGGTCATCGCATCAAGGTATCTGCCAACCTTTAGCTTTTTTTTTCTGTGTTGGTGTAGTGTACTCAGGTGAATATGATATTTGTGGTGTTACTCTGAGTGTATATCCACACCGGGCGAGCTTGAAAAATATGCCCGGCCACGGTGGGATTCTAACCTACGACCTTTGGAACACTAGCCCAATGCCCTTCCAACTGAGCTACGCGGCCAGGACGGTTCGAGTAAGTGATATTTCGGAACAGAATCTAGTTCCTTCGATACCAATGTATTCTAGTAATATGAATTTTTTCTGTGTTGGTGTAGTGTACTCAGGTGAATATGATATTTGTGGTGTTACTCTGAGTGTATATCCACACCGGGCGAGCTTGAAAAATATGCCCGCGGCCACGGTGGGATTCGAACCTACGACCTTTGGAATACTAGCCCAATGTTCTTCCAACTGAGCTACGCGGTCAGGACGGTTCGAGTAAGTGATATTTCGGAACAGAATCTAGTTCCTTCGATACCAATGCATTCTAGTAATATGAATTTTT